CTTCTTTATCTAACTTTTTCTTTTTTTGAATATGCATTTGTTATTAGCTTTATCCTAACATTCACCATCTAAAGTTCCCCGCAAAGCTTCTTTACATTTATTAGCACGATATACTCTTGAAAAGAAGCCAGACTATTGAAATGCTTCATGAATGAACATTCCTAATATGAACCTCCAACTAAACTACATACAATATTCATGTTTCCTAATAACCCTCGCAAGGTATATCAAATTCAGAACAAATAATGCAATAGGAATCTCATTCTATCAGCTTACCAAATCTCCAACGAGCTTGTATGAGTCCGATTTGAGGGTTGTGTATGAGGAAAGGCATTGCTCGATGCAAAAAGTCGGGTTCTGGCTGAAAATCAGCATCAAATATTGCTACATACTCACAATCTTTGACATAATCGTGCTTTAAGCCTTCTTTGAGTGCCCTGGCTTTGTAGCCTACTCTACCTTGTCTAATTTGATATCGAATATTAATGCCTTCGCTTGCCCACTTTATGCATTCTTTCTCAATCATATCCTGCAAACCTTTTGTGCTATTAATATCATAAGATTATTATATATACTTCCACTACATTGGTAAGAATGTCATGGTAAATTGATCTTCAAACTTAACAATTAAGGGCAGATTGGATACTCAGAGGGTAATATTGACACTTTCATGCATGAAAGATTTTCAAGATAAGACAATGTGATCCTCTGTATTATTAATGGAAAGTTGAAAGACAAATAATATTTATATTTATTCATACAATAAGTGTCCTGCTTTGCAATAATATAGAAAAACATCACACCAAACTGAAACAGTTCGATGTGGCCAACGAAAACAATTTTTGAATAACATATCCTATTAACACAAAATTAAGATAAGAACATCAAACGAATATGCATCTCTTGTTGTCTGTATAAATATAAAAAAACAAATAAATAATAACAAATAGAAAAGGCAATGCTGACTACTGGACAGGCTGGTGATGGTTTGGCACAAGGAAATGATAGCCAAGCTGAAAACATTAAATAATCTTTGCAGAGCACGAAATATAACTGAAAAATATAGGCTGGGAAAAAAAATAATAATAATAAATTTCTTGGATTTTCGCTGAAGAGACCAAAACTACATTATTAATGCAATTTCTGAAAAAAAAAATAAAAAAATTGAGGAATATAATGTAATGCTGTACCTTGAGTCGAAGGTCGGTTGAATCATCCAGCACCTGAATCACCAGCTTCTCAGCAGGCCATGAAAGATTACACGCTGCCCCAATAGAAATCTTGTAAACCTAATTCCTCCACAAAAGACATTATCATCAATTATAAAATGAATAAAGAAAATCTCTATTTCATTGAGTTTGCTCATTCAATAAATTACCAAAATTAAGCACATAAACAAGCACGTACGCGTGTGTGCAGTGCACACAAAACCTTTACAAGGAAAGGACAGCAAAACAGAACAAACCTCAATCTCATTGTAAATAGGTATCTGGACAAGAACCACCGGAAAATCGGCGCCGGCGCCTTCCAATTCGTCCGCCGTGGCCTCAAATTTGAACCTTTCCGCGGGCCTTTTCCGGAAGAGCCTGGCGATTGCGGCCAGGGACATGACGTGGACCCACTCCACGAACAACAGAAACGAACACGCCAAACAAACGTACACAGCGAACCTAAGCACGGGCACCAAAAACGACGCCTTTATCACGACACACAAAGGCCCGATTTTGTATCTAACATCGTCCGTCTGTCTCACCAGCCATTCTAAACCTACGCCCTTAGCCGAAATCTGAGCCACTCGTTCTCTGAAGAAAATCAAGAAACTGGACACGCTCAGCTTTTCGCTTTCCATAGATTGGAATTGAACGGATCTCTGTTTACTTTTTTTTTTTTTATATATATATTTTATATATTACATTTGTTTTGTTGCCTTCGGCTCTTTTTCCATCTCAACGTAAGGAATCTGAAAAAGGGGATTTAAAATTCATGTTTAGCTTTCACTCTCTGCCTTTGTAGGAAGAGAGAGGCCAACCTGAGGCAGAATGAAGGAGATTGAAAAATGGTCCAACGTGAAGAGTGAACCTTTTATATGGATACGAATGACTGTGTGTGTGTTTCTTTTTTTTCTATTATTAGTAAAGTGCGCACAGAATTTTTTATTCTTTTTTACTAGTTAAGGTCATGATGAGATGTTTCTTTCATGCCAACTCTTATTAATTATGAACAATGTACAACATAAAGTTATGTTTTATTTCATTTTCTTTGAAATAATTTGATTGTATGTTGAGACTGCAGTAGACATGGCCAAAACCCGTGACCCGGCCCGGCCCGTCAGGTCGTCGGGCTCAAAAACACTGACCCTGAACCGGCACGGACCTATACTTGTGCCGGGTCTGTGTCCGGGCCGGGTCATGTCCGGGCCGTGCCGGGTCAGGGCCGGGTCCGTGTTTTTTTTAAAAAAAGGTATAAAAAAATAAAAAAAAAAAATTGAAAAGAAAGGTCATTGACCCGGCCCGGCCCTGACCCTCCGGGCCGGGTCATGAAATGTATGACCCTTACACGGCCCGTCTGAAACCCGGGCCGGTTCCGGACCCGTGGTCAACGGGTTTGACCGGGCCGTGTCAGTGCCGGGTCCGGGCCGGGTCAGTGCCGGGTCGGCGGGCCGGGCGACCCTTTGGCCATGTCTAGACTATAGAGCCCGCCATTTGTTTGACAGAGGTCCCTTGTTTAATGTTTACTATTTTTACTTCGTTTTGGTAGGACCATCTCCAATGTGGCTTTTGCTATTATAAAAATTCATCAATATCATCAACTTTTAAAGGTGTGTTACTAATTTATTATCCAATGCATCTTACCATGAACTCTTTCATGATGATGTGGATAGCATTTAATGTTGACAATACTGAACATACTTTCTAATATCTAACACCATGTTAAACATAATGACTAATCAATTCACTTTATATCTGATTTAACTTTTTATTGTTATTGTATTAATGATAAATTTAATTGGTCCACCTATACAAATAACTTCTTATCAAATTGATGCATTGGAGATACTAGTTTGATTCAAATTTCTACTCTTTTAACATTATTTCTACATGGATTAACATTACCATCATTGTCTTTCAAAGCTACAACATGCGAGATGCTCTAATGTCTGCGTGTATGATAGTTATTTATATTAAGAAATACTCCCTCCATTTTGAAATATAAGGCATTTAAGGTTATTGCACAAATATTAAGGAGACATTAATTAATGAATAAATTGACCAAATTAACCTTATTTACTCTAATCACAACCACTCCACACTTCCTTAATTTCAACACAATGAGGGTATATTTAGAAAAAAATGCAAAAATTCGTCTTGATTTTTTAGCGCGCCTTATATTTCAAAAAAATTGAGAAATCTTTATACGCCTTATATTTCAAAATGGAAGGAGTAGCACTTGACGTATTTAAGTATGACTGTTAGCTAATTCTCATGTGCCTGAAATTGCAATTTTAATTTTATTTTATGTGTATTGCTCTTAAGATAAGGCTCACAATTAATGCTGCTTGCAAGTACTAAGTTTTTTTAAACTCAATTGTAATTGAAAGTATGAAGTGGTTGGGATAAATTATTAATGTTCCAAGGTAAAATAGATAGTAGATGATTTTTTTTATTTATTTTTTAAATGTAAAGTAAATGAACTACATCAAGTAAATAACTAAAGATTGTTCTTAAATTTAAACGATAACTAAATATTGTTCTTAAATTTAAACGATATAGATAAGTAAGTATGATCTTCAACTCTTCTTTTTCTTTATGTTGTTGATCGGAGAGGATTATTTCTTTCACTTTGCTTTTGAATTTTTCCGCAATTTCTTTCACTTTGCTTTTGAATTTTTTCGCATACATTTCTTTTTAAGAGGATTATTTTATTATCGTCAATTTCAATGACACTATCATTATCATATTCCTTTATCTTGTCGGCGACGCGTTCTCTTCTTTGAAGTTGCTTNTTGGAGATTTTGAGATATTTGGATGGCCTTTCTTTCATTTCATCATCATTAGTAGGTTGTAATCTTGCAATTGCTTCGGTAACCACGTTCATCTCTCCTCTTGAGTTGTAGGACATATGATTTAAATGGATGAAAATTTGGAATTCGGTGGTTGATTGCAAGCTCAATCCTTGACAGTAACCAGATGATTCTTCTCCCTAATGAATATGGAATGGAATTTGATTTAAAAATGGAGTGTGGTAGTGAAATGGACTTCATCTGGACTCTTTCAAGCTCAACCAGATGATTCTTATCGTATTTCGTGTATTTTTTGGTTCATTATGCGTTTTTGTGTTTTGCCGTATTTTTCTTGTCTATGCCAACACAATGTAAGGAGAACGAAGTGAGTCTCTACCATTTCATTAGGTCCATTTTGTCAAGCTAGGGCAAACGAGCCATCCGAACTACCTGAGCCACCCGAGCCGTCCTGGGCCATGACTGGGTTCGGACCCACGCACCGACCCGCGGGCACCAGCACAGACCCGTGCGCGTAGAAACAGACCCACGGGCGCACCCCAACACTCGCACAGAGTCCGCCTAGCGAACCAGCATTCGCCCGCACGCGCCTCATCACTCGCGCGCCCGCGCCTCTCGCTCTGGTCCGCGATTTACCCTCAAGTTTCGAGCGTTCGAGTCACGCGCTCGCTTATCCGGTGGAAAATGGGCCCCCGATGGCCGTTAGGATGCGATATAGACAAACCGTGTATTATAGGTTGCAAATAAGGAAAAAAAAATACTTTAGGTTGCAATCGCCAAAAACGCTTGCAAATAATTATTTACCCAATTAAAAATGAATTGATACCCAAAAAGTTATTAAACGAAGTCGCAAACTAACCAAAAGTTGTTTTTTTTTTCGAAACGACAGATTTTATACCTCGCAATCTAACCAAAAATTAAAGGATAAAAATTGAAAATTTACCTTAAATATTATATATTATATATATTATGGCTAAAGCAGCACACTCCAAACTAATTAAAACACACAAAAAAAAATAAAAAAAAATGTGGTTCAAGTCAAACAAATATTTGTTTAATCAATAACTCCAGAATCAAACCCGGATGACCCGACGAATTCGGATCCGGACCCACCTGACATTGGCACGGACCTCCAAACAGGCGGAGTTGCGGAAACATTATTAGGACCCTTTAAGCCCACTTCATGAAAACTCTGCTCACTACCTAAATCACCTACTTCGCATTTAGTTTCGGCTTCTTCTGGTGGTTTAGCTTGCACTGGGACTGCAACCATAACCGGGCTTTTGCTAAGTTTTGGACTTTCAACATGTTGTGGCCTAACGTTCACTTGATGCCTTAGCTTCTGTCTGAATGTAGCAACGATAAGCTGGACAAAAATAAATAAATCACCATCAAAAGTTGAATTATGAATTCTTGGCCGAGCCACACTAACAATTAGGCAGATGAACCATCATACCTTTTTCAATAAAAATGCATACTACTGCTATAAGATATTGTACTTCAATTAAGATATTGTACTGTCAAACGCTAGAAAAACCTGGGTTTCTTTAGTCTAAAAAGAGTTCAATTCCAATTTTTTTCTATATGTCATGTCAATTAATTAACATCAAATAAAACATCTATCTATCAATTAATATATATATATATATATATATATATATGGATATTATTACTTGAGTTGGGCCGGCAGCAATAAGAGAACCGGCCACAGCACCACCGAAAAAGTGGCCTTCAGGATTAGCCAATTGAACGCTTAAAAGGCAATTTTTGCCACCCCTTTTTCCATCATAAGTGTGTGACCCATTTAGATATATAATTGAGAACTGTCCCTGCACAGTCAACAGTGGTAATAATCATCTGGTCAATGAAAACAAAATTCTGATTCATTTTAACTAACAAGAATTTTTTTTTTGTGCAAAAAATCATAAATGTCTTTATTTTGATTTATAATTTTTTCAACAATTAATTAAAATCGAACAATAGAGATTGAGATTATGCCTCGTATCTGATAGGGCGGGCTCGAGAAGTTGGTATGTAAATTTCAGCAACAGAGACAGTTCCAGCAGCTGATAGGATGCAAAGAGAATCTGGGATCCTTTGCGAAAATGACCATATCTTTTCAACAATGTTCTGCATAAACAATAACCACAAATTAATTTTTTTGTATATGTAAATGATAATATAATAATACTAATGTTCTTATTAGATAATACCTCGCCCGCTTGAATTGAAATTATGCAAGGAGTGAAGTCTGTTCCAGCAGTATCCCCAACACTGCCACCTTCAGGATAATGCAAATTAATTGACAATCCTTATTAAGTAAAAGGAAATATAGCTATTTAGCATATATATATATATAGTTGTTATTTTGGTTTTTGCAATATTACTTTTTTGTGTGTGTGTGTGTGTGTGTGTGTATGATCCAATAGTTGTAAATATGTGTAAGTGGATTTTAAACCATTATCAAATGTAAGTAAAATATATTGTTTTGAATAGGAATTACATCATACGATCAACATAATTGGGTTGTGGTTGAATAATATCACAACAAAAAAAAAATAAATAAATAAAAAAAAAAAATTACATCTATATTTATATCTATATATTTTGAAAGAAATTGTTGTAATAATCTAAAATAATAACTTTGACTTTGTAATTAAATTGGTTGACTTACTGTTAAATGAAATATAGCAAAAATTATTTTAATATATTTGAAAAAAAAAATCAAATTATACCTATATGTTGCAAATCGTGCAATTCGGTTAATAGCATGACTTTAAGTATAAATAAAGTGGTATTGAATTTGAACATTAGTTTGCTTATCACAATCAAATATGATTTTTTATATCAATTACGAATCACTACAATTTCTTATTCTTTTGGTAACTAACCATATACCGTGATTTGCTACATGTCTTTAAAAATACGACTATTGAATAAAAATATTATTTGAATATGCATGATAAAATCATAATATAATTACAAATAAAAATTGAACCCAATTATGTCGCTTGACATGCAAATTATTAGTTTAGTAAGAAAAATATAAATATTTATAATATATACTGCTACAAATTATGGTAACAAATCAACGGATCATTTGTCGAACTATCCACTTAAATCATTAACTTAAAAAAATTGCAATGTATATTATTATAATTATAATGATAAAATAACAAGTGATCTATCGAACAATGATATAAATTGTTAGCTTAGAAAATAAAAAAAGATATTAATCATATATATTGCTATTAATTATATTGATAAGTCAATCGGTGTGGAATAGTCATATAAATTGATTAGGTTAGAAAGAAAATGTAAAATACTTATATACACATCATTATAAGTTATAAAAAGCAAAATAATATTGATGTAATTAAAAATTATTAAATTTTTTAACTTCAAAATAATATATATTATAGTCTATTTCAATTAATTGTTGGTTATAATATTTGCCATAATTTTTTAAATGTTAGCATAAATTATTTTGGAATTTAAATATTGTAATAACGTATGAGCTAGTAAGGGAATATAGAAAGAGAAGTATTCTATGTGTATTATCTATTGATAATGTTTTAATATGTTAAATTGCCATCATTTCTAATTTTAAACATGAACTCCAAAACGACAACTATTTTATAACAAGTGAAAAACATATAAATCATATGTTAACTTATTATAAACCATAAAATAAAAAATATTAATATTCAAGACTATTTTTATGCTAATCAATATTCTTTCATGGGTTTGATATATGTAATTTATAATTATTGCTCCGTTCGTCGCACGGCTACGTAATTGAATATGTGACAGTCATTATACATCTAATTTTATATATAATGGAATATAATTTAAATTAATACACAAATTTTCATTGAAAATGAATAAATCTGACTACATTATATAGTATATAAATTTTTTCTAAGTGTAAAAGACATGCCTCAAACAAATAAACTTTTGATATATTAATTATCTCCACAATAACATATCTAATACTACAACTCCTACAACTAGTCGATGGAACAAATCCTCCTTTTATATATAATTAAGGAACATGTTGAGTCTAAGTGGCAGATTCACATTTTTCATAATTTTATGTGGCAAAATATTACGTTTTGTAATATAGCTCGGATAAAAATTACTACTTTTTTAATACCAAATAGTTTAGGTTGGATTGCCATAAATACACATATTTAATATATTGAAATTATTTAATATAAATATATTTATTATCTTCTTTATATAAAGTGCATATTATCTCACTTTTTAAATTTAAATAAATGATATTTGAATATGTGAAATATATAATTTAATTTCATTAATTTTCATAGCATATTCAATTAACCAACATTTGGAATTCCACAATTTAAGTAAAATATCATGTAACAAGTATGTTAAATTAACATGTCTGTTCAATAAAATGACATTTGAACTTTAGCAATTTAAGTGAAATATCATATAACAAGTATGTTAGATTGGTCTGTCTAATAATAAAACATTAATAACAGATCTGCCAGAGTATTGATGTTAAGAAAGCATCAGCCTTGATGAGTTTTCATTATTATTTTTTTCCTACACTAGAAGGTAATTAGGGGTTAAGGTGGGTTGGTGCATTACTGAAATAAATCATCCCACCGTTGATAGAATTGTATTGGCTTGGTTTCTTAAAATCGAGCAAAAAAAAAATATCTATAATTTTGGTACTAATGTGGCTTAGTTGCAATTGGTTTCAAATAATAAAAAAAATTCAAGTATTTGTGTTTATAAACTTTAATCTAATGTTGTCAATTGCAAAAGAATCACCAATGTAAATTACACAAATAATCTAGCATGGAAAGATAACTTTTGCCAGATCAAATTGTCTACAAAGCTAGTTATATGCGAGATTGTGAAAATTGTAGCACGAAACTCACGGAATTCAGAAAAGTATTCTTTCGGGCGAAAAATATGAACATATTATCAATTATTATAAGACCTATCCCCAATTAATTAATTAATTATTATTATTATTATTATTATTATTATTATTATTATTATTATTAGTCGGGGTAAAAAAAAAAGAGAGAGGCAATTAATGGAATGAAAAGGATTACCTAAAGACGCGGCCAGGGTTTGCCACTTGCCGGATCCCCTGGGGCGGCCCCGGCCCCGCTTTTGTGGAGCCGCCGCCGCAGACAGCTCAGCCGCCGCCACAAATTCCGGCGGCGGCACCTTTCTCGGCCGCCCTCTCTTCCTCTTCAATCTCTCATCATCACCAAAGCCCGCCGAGACCACCACCACCGCCCCTCCTCCGTACCCGTCGGCGTTTTCAGGGCTGTCCTCAGCCGCGACGGCTTCCGGAACTTGCAATAAATCAGATTCCGGCGGCTGGGCGGTTTGCTCCTCCATTTTTTTCTCCCTTCAAAACATCAATTCACCAAACAATTCATAATTAATTAAATATCAACATAAACAATGCAAGATTTAAATTTAAATATATATAATATATATTGGATTCCTGCATGCACCAAAATGCATTGAACATGTGTAGTTTCGATTAGACGGACCTAATTAAAAATAAATAATCGGGACGAAACAAAGGATCCACACACTTAGTCCAAGAAAAAATAATTAAATTTTAAAACGGGGAATGTTAATTTAGTAATAATAATATATATATATATATATATATGTTATTATATTATTATTAGTAATGAATATAGAAGCAAGAAAAAAGAGGATCATTGTGTGTAGAGTTCTGAGGTCTCACTGAATCTTCACTTCTTCAGTCGTAATGATGAGAAGGAAAAATCAAGAAACAGTTGTTTTCTTATACGTATTTTATGGAGAAGATATTTGATGAATAATTCCAAATATACCCTTTTAGAATTTACTTTTTCTTTTTTTTTTTAATTTGTTACCAATATTTTAGGGCGTTTTAGAGGCCTAGAAAAATCCTTTTTAAGCATGGAATAATGACTCTTCAAGAGATTTACCGCTTTGGAAATTTCAAGCAATTGAGGCAATCTCAAGTCCAAATAATACTCTCAGATTTATCTCTTTTTTTTTTTCAAGTATGAAAAATGAAAAAAATTATTATGATACTTATCTCCTATTTCTACATCAAGATCGTACAAATATAATAACAAAATAAATGGGTAATTTGTTGTTTAGTCNATATAAGTTTCTCATTATTATTAAAATATGTAAAAGCTTTATTTTGGCTTTTTATGTGACCTTCTGCCGATTTATTGTTCTTATTTCTTAAGCCATAAAAAAAATGTGGCTAGAAAATAAGAAATAAATCTATTTTATGAATTTCTTTTTCAAAGTATAATTTTCTGATATCCTGGATTACAGTAATTATGAAATAACTGTAATCGGAGTTGGATAGTGTAATTGGGCCAAATCTAAATTGAATTCTCATCGATTATGAAAGAGTAGGAATTGAATATTGACATATCCTTCAATGCATATCAGGAAAATAGAATTTTTGGGGATAACTTTTTGGTTAATTCACAGCTGTATTTACTTTTTAATTTCAGATTTTATTTTGAAATCCGTCTCTCAATTTGTCATGTAAAATTTGGATTTTGTTTTTAACTATTGCCAACATAACCCAATGTTCCTAATATTTTTCACAAATTTAACTAATAGAAAATATGAAATGAAATGCTCAAGATAAATATAAATTATTTGTGAGATTATTTTAATTTTTGATATATTTTTTATTGTTTATAATATCTATATATATCTAAAAAGGTTGATGTAAAAATCCTTTTTTAGAAACCTAAAAATAATTGAGTTGACTTTTGACTTTCTATTTATGTATTCTACTTTAAAATCGAAAGAAAAATCGTGAAAAGGCAGTGGATATTTCGTTAATTTAGCATGAAATTTGCGTTAATTAAGCAAATGGATATTCTCCTTAATAATGGTGATATTTCTGTTAATTAAGCATGTGAAATTGATTGTCCGTTGCAAAAATCATGGGACTTACTATCTATCCAAATACAATCCATAACTATCTTATCACTTTTGGTTAATAAAAAATATGTGAAATTGATTGTCCGTTGCAAAAATCATGGGACTTACTATCTATCCAAATACAATCCATAATTATCTTATCACTTTTGGTTAATAAAAAATTGTATAAAAAGATATTCACTACCACCATTACAACTCATCATTCACAAGTTCAGAGAAAAAAAAATACAGAGAATAATTTTTCATCGCATATACAATATAATGCTTCGTACAATTGATTCCGTTAACAAAAGAAACAAATTTTTTTTTTTTGCGTCTGAGAGCACTCCGCATTATTGAAACCCATCACGAACGGGAGAGCTGTAAGGCATTCCATATACTGTTTCATGAACATGTAATATTTACCTTTGTTATTTCAATTTTATATAATTTAGAAAATTATTTTAATTAATATTTATAAATTTGTATCGTAGGGTGCTTTCATTAAATGCATAATACGTTATCCGAATATGAGAGCAACAAACTTTATATAAACTGAAAGCAGTCTAATTTTTGTAAAATATGTAAACTTTTAACATGTTTTTATATATAAAATTGTATATACTTTTAAACATGTTAGTTGGGCAAACTTTAAGTATATATATATGTGTGTATGAAAACTTTAAGTATATATATTTTTCTTATAAAATAGTGTAGACAGAATTGAGGTAATTTCACATTTTTCGATAATAATATAAAATATTTTAATACTTTCACATATGTTATATAATAGTCTACGTATTCTTAATGTCTTTTGGTTGTAACATTGTTAACACATATAATATTAGATACTTTTAAACATATTTAGATAATTTTTTTACTCATTCTTTCATATCTATGTGCATAAAAAGAGAATAAAATTTATAAAAGATTTTCCGGCAATATACTAAATGTTAGATAAAAAATCTCATTTTATTTGTTATATAATATTTCGAGTTGCATTAATTTTGATTTGTATGTGTAAACTTGATAAATTAAGCGTATGAAAAGGAGCGTACGAATTACTGTAAGGATTTAAAAAATAAAAAATAAATCTAATTTTTTAATATTTTCTACTAACTTCTAAACGATTTTATGTCATAATTCGTCATAATTTTCCTACATCATGTCAATATTAATTTTATATATACTAGGTAAAAGGTAAATCATTATCTCAATATTTATTCTATATATTCTAAGTAAATCTTCTCATCTATCTCAACGGTCTGCAGGTAGTATTTCATACTTTTCTATTCATAATCAAATATATCAAAGCTTCACAAATTTTACTTCACAAAGAAAGTGTTCAATAATTTATATTTTTTTCCCTTCTTTGCAATCCATTTATTTTTGTTACATATATATAAATTATATTATTTTTAATATTTCACACGTTAAACATTTCAGGAAAATATACCATCCCGTGCATCGCACGGGCTACGCGCTAGTTTTTTCTCAAAATATATATACATAAAATAATAATTTTTCATGATTTTATTTTTGAATATGATGTTATATTACTTGGCTATGTTTGGTAGCCAAATAAGCTAGCTTATAGCTTATTTGATTAACTTATAAGCTTCCTGTATTCAAATAAACCTCGTTTGGTAGATCGAGTTTTTTTAAAAAGCTCGAGTTTATCTCATTAGCTACTTTAGGTAGCTTTTCAAATAAGCTAGTTAAATACAGGAAGCTTATGACTATGTTTGGTAAAACTAGCTGATAAGCTAGCTTATAGCTTATTTGTAATTTTTTAGCTTATAGCTTATAACTTATGACTTATAGCTGAAAATCTAGTTTATATGATAAAAGTGTTTGGTAAAATTAGCTGATAAGCTAGCTGAAATAAAAAATTCAACTAGCTTATTTGAAAAGCTACTTAAAGTAGCTTATGAGATAAGCTCGAGCTTTTTAAAAAAGCTCGTCCTACCAAACGAGGCTTATTTAAATACAAGGAGCTTATAAGCTAACCAAATAAGCTATAAGCTAGCTTATTTGGCTTACCAAACAAAGCCTATAAGTTAACCAAATACGCTATAAGCTAGCTTATTTAACTATCAAACATAGTCATAAGCTATAAACTAGCTTATCGACTATCAGCTATCATCTAGTTTTACCAAACATAGCCTTAATACTTGATATTATTATTTCTTTATTATGGTACTTGAATGTATCAATTATTTATTTCACATTTTTTTCTTTAGGAACACATACATAACTTTAATGGGTTTTTTTTAACAAATTAAATAATTTATAATGTATGCAGATATTTTTTATGTGAAATAAGTGTAATTGTATATATTGATTTAAGAGATGAATTAAATTTTGGTCCATATAAATATATTATGGATATATTCAATTGTTATTTTGTCCAATAATAAATTAAAGACCTAGTACAGTTGCCCGTGCAAATGCACGGGAGCTAAAAAAGAAATCATTAAAAGAGCATTTGCAATTCATACAAATGCAGAACGATTAAATATTATTGAACACTTCCTTATATATAATGTTCTTCGTCTATGGGCTGTTTTTATCATCACTAATTAATATTTTCAATCTTTTCACATTTGTAACTCTAAAACAACGACGTAAAGTTGAGCTGTTTTTATCATCACAAATTAATATTTTCAATCATTTCCCATCTGTAACTCGTGAACAGCGACGTAAAGTTGATCATGTGTAAATACAGAGTTCTTCAGACGTAACATTCATATAAATTATTCCTCAATAACTAAAATATATATTTTATTTTTTATATGCATAAGATATAATTACCGATCAATAAAGAGTCCTTACAAAAAGAGTCTTTAGCCAAATCGGTAAAACTTTTGAAGTTGTACATAAACTTCGGAAAATTTTTATTTGAAGTTTCACCATAAAATTTATCTTCAACCTCGCTATAGTGGTTTTATATCTTCCGCCTAGTTTTATATCTGCAGCTGGTGCTATATAAAGTGTGGATACCCACGACTCCACCTTCTGTGATGAAAACAAATCTACATGAATTTTTTTGATTGAGGCGTGGATTCTATATTCCTGTAAAACGTTAAAAACACAAATATTAGGAAACAAAATTAAATAGCATATGTATAATAACTGATATAGGATATTATATACTAGACAAGTCCTAATGGATAAGAGGGGAATATATTGAAGAATAAGCTACACATGGCTAGGACACGTGGCATGATGCTATTAGACAAGTCCAACTTGGGCCATAAGGTACATTCCCTCTATAAAAGGGGGTCAAGGTATCTCATTCTCTCACTCTCTTTACATTCATAATTATACACTTGAGATTTAGAGTGATTCTGACTGGAGCGTCGGAGGCCCGACGCCGGGACTCCTCCCGGCGTTGGGTTCTTGCAGGTACGTAGGCTGATCGAGTCGAAGGAGCCCGAATG